CACCTTTGTGACAATAATATTTCCTGTATTATAGTGCTAAACTGTTGGTCACAGAATGGAGGGAACGTTCCTAAATCTTAACATAGCAGCCGCGCCCTCCCATTCGAAGAAATATATTATGGCAACCACATACACACCTATTATGATAGTGACTTCGCAACCTCCATCTCACCATCATGTTAGCCGCGCCCTTTTATTCTAATAACAACTTAACTTATTATATTATAGGCAACCACTTTATACTTAAATTGCAGTGACTTCGCAACCTCCATCTCAACATCATTGTAGCCGCGCCCTCTTATTCAAGTAACGACTTGTAATAGCCTATAGACAACCACTTCATACCTAAATGGCAGTGACTTTGCAACCCATCTCAACATAATGGTAGCCGCGCCCTCTCATTCTAAGTAACAATTTAACTTATTATATTATAGGCAACCACTTCATCTTAAATGGCAGTGACTTTGCAAACTCCATCTCGACATCATGGTAACCGCACCCTCTCATTCTAAGAAATGTATTATTGCAAGTACATACACACCTAATCGTAGTGACTTTGTTTTTATTTTTATTTTATTAAGGTATAACACACAAAACAAAACAACAGCCAAAGGCTGAAAACGTTTGTTTACAATCAACAAATAAAGACAACATAGGAAAACAAGTCAGGTGGAAAAATACATATCGAAATATCAAAATACACCATATTATTATAATTAAATTTCAAAAACGTCAATTAATTTAAAATTAAAAATACATATAGAAATATCAAAACATTCAAATAATTACATTAGAAAAGTTAAAAATTAATATCATATTACAAAATAAAAATATAAATATATACACCAAATTACTATAATTAAATTTAAAAAGAAAAAAAAAGTCAATTAATTCAAAATTTTAAATACGTTATTATGATACAGGATTAAAATCAACCCGAACTTAATTATTTGCATTGATCAGATTAACAATAGTAGGTATGGCAGATCTTCTATATCTTTCAGTTTTGCATCTGGGGATATCAAGAGTTCTAGTTGTATTAGACCTAAGGGTTCTCTTCTGCTCGCGGCAAGGAGGCAACATGTCACGAAAACAGTCAGACTTAAGCAAACCCCTGCCAAAAGACAAAACAAGGCTTTCTCTCCTTGCCGCAAGTGATGGTAAACCCGTAACCTCTAGGGCATTGTCATAAGTAATGTAGGCAGCACCTAACATTATGCGACATGCTCTTTTCTGGATGGTCTCAATGCTATTGGCCATTTTATTAACATATTATAAATCGTATCAAACATAGTTCATATATGTTTGTTTATTATTTTTTCGAATCTATATTATGGTAAAAATACAATAAATTATTGAAAGCGAAATAGAGATACTAGAAAAAGGCTATTAAAAAGACGAAAATACCTTATTAAAACTTAAAAGAGGTCTGGTGGGAATCGAACCCGCAATCTCTCGCTAACTCGGCGAGCGTCATACCGTTTAGACCACAGAGGCCCGTATGATATCTTAATACATGTCCGCAATGATGAGCGATTTTCGTTTACATTTTAAGAGCATTATAACAATCAGTTGGATTGAAGGGTCAACGGATAGAAGTTAATCAAGCGAGAGGGTTATAATATATGGTTATATATCTATTGGTTTATAATTTATCAGACTTAATTGAACGTTTTGTGGTGTACCAGTATGTTGTTTGTGTAATTTTTCCTTTGTTTATATGACCATACTGATTTGTGCAGTTTATGTCAAGGAAAGAATTGAATTGTATAGGTATAGGCCTGTCGATTGAAGGAAAATGATTCGTGTGTTCACATTGGTTTGACGAAATGGTAATGACATTGTCTGGACTGGAGGTGGATGATTACAATAATACAGCAGGAAATTCCTCCATGATCTAATGTGGAAATAATTGGAACATAAAGTAGGATTGGAATACAACGAATAAACTTCTTTTTTTTTTATAATCTTTCATAAATACATAAAGAAAAACATCTTCATTTGCCAAAAAAAAAAAAAAATATTAATTAGCAAAAAAAAAAAAAAAAAAAATACAGGAGTATTTTCGATTCTTAATCCACTATAAAATTGTCTATGAAAAATTGCTTGCTCATACATGGGCATGGTTCCTTTCTTAATTTCTGTTGAAAGCTATAATATTTTGTCTTTAAATGGTAAAGGGAGTATCTTCTCGCATTAGTTTTCAAATGCATACTAATTTCTACTTATTTTCTTCTTTATACAAAGTAAGCTATTCCATCGTTCGTTCTATTGTTCATTTTATTCAAGGACTTTTAAGATATAGCTTTAATTACCGTACATATTTGACTGGTACGCTAATTTGCAAAGTACCACGAAAAATAACAAAAGAGCGGATAATGACAGAATCGGACAGATGACGTACAGGTCTAATAATCATCAGGAACTTCTTTCGTACGCAAGGACTAATTATATTAAGTCCGTGTCTATTTATGTATTAATATCATAAACAGTTAAACCATGAATATAAATGGTTTGCATACGAATTAAATTTGATTGCATTTTTAAAACTGTATAATAAACCCATTATGACGATAAGACAAGTATTTCTGACAATACATTAGTACATCCTTCTTGCGGACTTTCAAATAAAGGGGGTATAAATCCCACCACGAATGCATTAACGCGACCTATTGTTTTATGTAGGCCTATGAACGAGGGGGTGGTAGTCTACATAAAAATAAAGACCGCGGTACTTTTATGCGCCGAAATAACTTTCATTATCGTTTTGTCAGAGATTTACTGGATACTACTAGACACCTGATTTTAATTGTTACACCTATGGTTATAACTTCCGGCGATATCAATAAATTAATCTAAGATACCACTTCTAACAAAAGCTTGGAAATCGTCTATAGAAAAGACAAACACATGCTATTGACACTTACAATCATGACATCCGTGGCTTGTGAAAGTCTTCCTTTATCCGGTTTCATTAATGATTAATAGGCCTAGGCCTACCAAAAAAGGCTAACAATTATCACTAGGGCTATTGTATTTAAAAATGTAAACGTATCACTAAGGAGCAAATCCATATATACTTTTTTTTTGTTATACGAACACATTGTATAAGAAGAGGCTGAAATTGCTTTACAGTAAGAACAAAATAAGATTAAGAACAAATTGAGGCTGAGCTGAGGCAAAATGTCAAATGAGGTTTCTATTAAAATATATAGAAACCCCCCCCCCCAAAAAAAAACCTTATGTGCAGTTGTAGGTGTGACATATAATAGGCGTACCCTCTATCATACAGTACAGTAGGTGTGCCTACCTGTCATTTGGGGCCATTTTTACTGGGCTTTTTTCTGGGGCAATTTTTCCTGAGGCCTTTTTGTTAGAGGCCATTTTTCCGGGGCCACGTTTACCTACATTCCAGTACAGATACTGCTGTACAATAATAATTTTCTGTGTTTGAAGTGTGTAAAATAAGAACAAAATAAGAACAATACTGAGTCTGGGCAAAATTTTACTGGTTCCTATAAAAAAAAAAGTGTATGTATCAACATTTTCATATGTATAAACTGCAATAGCCTATATTTTTTTTTGGTGCTGGGGTGGAGGTGTTACCGTGGGGATATGCAGGCCAGGCCTACTTAAATAAATACAAAAATAAAATAAAAGAAAATGTCATATGTCGTATACTTTTGATGTTAACATGCTATAATTAAAATTATCACCATCGTCATTATCAATATAATTATTATTAATATTTTTCTAATATTGGGATAATATTGGTAATGAGAATAAAGTGATAATTAGCCTATGCAATGATAATGATGATCACGATGATGATAAATTTGATGATACAGTACTACAAATAATACGATAATGACAATGATGATGATGATAATAATAATAATAATAATAATAATAATAATAATAATAATAATAATAATAATAATAATAATAATAATAATAATAATAATAATAATAAATATCAGTAATAGTCATCATCATCATCTCATCCTCATTATTATTATCACCATCATCATCATCATCATATATTATCGTTACCAGCATCAACTATCATTACTATACTTCTTTTCACCGTGTTTGCTAGACCTGTTTACAGTATATACGAACTGTGCGGTGGTGTGGTACGGTATCGGTACATATTTCTTTCCGCAGAATAGAAAGCAATGAACTTGAAAGGAAATCATTATACAAGATACATCCTACCCTCTGAGCACTCTCTGTTCAAATATGTCCGTAGATGTTGTTCCAATACTTCCTGGTGAAGTAACATAGCTTTCTGGTTTACAGTACTCCTCAATTGATATGATCACAATTTCATCACAAAAGCAGTTCACATATCACAATGCCGCTTAAAACCTACCTTTAAGGTCTAATAATATAAACCATATTCATTACGCATAGGCCTATAGTTTAATAATAGCTTAATGTTTTGTGTTCTGTGGCACCATGTTTGCATAATTCACAACATTAAATGCTATGAAAATGGTGTTAAAACAAGGTTAATTCAAATATACTGTAATCGGTATATTTTCATGATCCTTGGCTACCATAATGTAAGAATCAGCCGAAAATAAGCAATTTCAGCCCCAGTGTGCTTATAAAAAAAATAGAGTAAGTGAAAAATAGCCCAATTTTGAAAAAGGTATAGCTCATAGTTTTTGTCAAATATTTTCATGATCCTTGTCGAAAATGGAAGAATTATTAACCCTGCCTTTTTGTGGTTATTAGTTTATGACCTTCACCCAACTAGGTTACTTCTTTCCACGAATCTGTTTTATATTGTAATTGTATTAATCCAGTCATATCACTGTCTACAGAGATCGCCTTTGATATTTGTATAGCCAAGCCCCGAGCCAAGCATTTCAACCATTCAGTATACAGTATACCAGCCCATCCCTTTAGTATAAATTCCTATCTTGCACTTCTCTGGTAACTCTCACACCACTCTCATCACAATTTAAACAAATAACAACACTGAAACTTTCATTTTCTTTTGTTTTATATTTTAATAGAAGCTTATATGGATATTGTTCTAACCCAATACAAAATATTAGCTTCATTCCACTCACATAGGAGTTACATAAACATTCATCAATAGAAAAATGTCATTTTTTGTTATACTATAGAGTTAGATAAGCATTCTTTTATGCTCTTTTTGAGAGTTGTGAAAAAATTGTAGAATAAAAACTCCCTGGGAGCTTCCTACTTTAGATTTTGCATAATCTTACAACTCTATCACAAAATTAAGGGCAATGTAGCAACAACATTTATATTCTTATGAAATACAGTATTGCACAGATATGTTGTGATGTCATTACATATCAGTGAATCTAAAACAATCATATTTCCTGTAATTCATATTAATAGATATGCTATTAAATTTTAGCGAAAGCCTTGTACCAACAATAAAATTAATTGCTTGGAAATCACAACAGATTTAATAGTAACTAGATCAAGATTTACAACCTAATCTAATCTAATTTGATTTTTTTTTTCACAATTTACATTTTCAGGTTCAACTTTTTAATTTTTCAGTACAATTTCATTTTCAATAATACTACAATTCAACTTTTTTTTAAACATTTTAAAAAATCAATTCGAGTAAATGCTAAAATTGTATTTTTTTTTTAAATTCCATCTATGGAAATAGTTGCTACACCAATAACCAAGTCCTAATTACATCACAGAAAGCTGTGGTCCTTATGACAAAGTTGTGCAAGTCCCTATGACATCATACAAAGTTGTGTACAGTCAATTTGTTTCAAAAATTATCTTCCAATACTTCTTTAATATAACTACTGCTCAGAAATAATATCTTCCTTAGAAAATATACCTTTCTACACAAACCATACACCTGGCCATGTTAAGAATTGATACAATTTACTAGTCTTTTCCCAAAACAGTTGGAAAAATATCTGTAGAGTTTTTAACATCATTACCTTTACAACAGTAAATATCTTTTGATACATATTTATATATATATATATGATTATATTATTATTAATATCTATTTACATGTCCACATTTCTGAACAATATCAATAAACTTAAAGTAACAAATAAATGTCAAAAAATGTAATATTCTTTAAATAGTCTCAGACTGAAGTCCAGCAGTCTGGTATCTAATATTCTACCAGTAGAGTAATATCTGACAGATGTGTCGAAGAATTAATTTACAGTTCTTATCAGAATGTAAACAAAAACATCCTAGAGGAATACGCACTAAGCACAGCTTCTTTGATTAAAAAGCATCACCCACGTCATCCAACGGTAAATACAGAATAACAACAATGCTATAGTACTGAAGGCCCAAAATTAATTGTTATCTTACAATCCTGACCCTTTGGCACAGGTGAATAGACCCACGTACTGGCTATTTATGTTACAAACACCCTGCAATTAACACACAAGAATCAATTTTATTCACAAAAATATTGAAACTACTGTTTCAGACTATGTATGTTAAAAATACTGGGCTTTTGTAAGATAAATTGATATGATTATGAAAAATTAAACAATTAATTCTATGTGGGCCTCACCATTATCACAACTAAGCTATAGGCTTATAAGTATAATGCAAATTTAACAATAGTAATACAATCAATATACTGAATCTTAATTTAAGTTAAATTTGTTTTGTATTTAGCATGTACACAAAGTCAAAGGTAATTATAGCTTTGGAAAATTTACAAACTACAGGAAATGTGAATTTTTCCATAAATATTTCCAATGTGCACAAAATTTTCCACCGCAAAGAATTTTAATCCATTTGGAAAAACACCCGACCTTTGTGCGTTGATCTGCTACGATGTTCTGCTTCAATGGACACACATAATTTGCTTTCTGTCTGGTAACAGGCAGTGCGATGTGTTGAAAGCTGCCGTAGTCAATGGGTGGGTTTTATTCTTTATTGATTGTGTCACATGATATTCATATCACAAGGTATGTCATATGATAAGTGCTTGGCTGTTTCCACTACTACTGTTGCAACCTGTGAAATGTTGAGATGATCCACACATTCATAGCAATTTTGAAATGTTCAGTTTTTAGTAGTCCTTGAATACATTCTGATAAATTTTATTCGCAGCACTTTGAAAAATATCTTGCTATCCACTGGCCAAATGCAACCCCCAATGTTCTATCATAACAAATATAGCCCTTCATTGTTCATTTTCTTCTTATTATAGAGCAACATGGGGGTGCCAACTGTACTCTTGTGTATGGTATATCTCAGTAAACGAAACACACGTGCCATCTGTTTCATTAGGTTCCTGAAAAATAAAACAAATTATTTATAATATATTTTAGAATAAAGAGAAAAATAAAAACCTACTGAAACATTGTAATTAGAAAATTGTACACTTAACCCAACCAAGGAGCAGAATGGCACCTTGAAAAAATTGCTTTTTCTTATTAAGCTCATTGTACATCACTGGAAAATACATAGCAATATTTAATGCAGTCGCCCTTATATTCATATGTATTGCAGTAATTTCCTGACTACTTTCATTCAAGGTTTCGACACTTCACAATGGTAATCCCGACAATGAAGAAATATAAGCCATTCACTACTGTACACAAAGGTGGTTTGCAAATACCAGCTGGAAACACTACGCACTCATTCACAAGGAAGTGGAGGCCCAAAGGGAAATATATAAAATATTCAACAACAACAAATCTTTATGTCGTATGTATGTACAGTAGAGTTTATTTAAGAATTAAAGTTTGGAATATTCACTTCAAAAACATAGTCATATATATCCTAATCATTATCATCAGTTATTTTAATAACTTAATTATTAATTTTTAATATATATACCATCACCATAACTAAGTCAGGAAATATTATATTAGTCTTTTGTCCCGTCTTTTTTGCTCCATTCTTGAAGTTTTTCCCTATATTAAGGCCAACTATTTTTTCAGACTTAAAATAACAGAAGGCAACCAAGAATCCCTCATTAATTATTGACAATGAAATTTGATAAATATAAAAGAATTTATAAACATACCTCTATAACCATACAAACTACATCATCACCGCTAAGATCCCGGCCGCTCCCGTGCTTAGCACGAACGCTATCAAGTAACTGGACTAAATGTCCATGATTGGTCACCTTGACCAATTTAATTTCAGATTCACTACAAAAGGCTTCCAACAGAGTAAGATGCATTTCAAGCGCTACATCCAAGTTAGTATCCTCTACTTGGATACACACCAAGACATTCTCAGATTCCCTAAAAAACAAAATGCATCAAAATTTAATCAACACATTCCAATATATTTCCATACTAAAAAAATAAGCAATCATCAACTTAAAAAAATATAAATTCCAAGAATATTAATTCTGGTAGGTGTGAATATCCTTCAACAACATTGTAATTTTTTTTATTTTGAAATATAAACATTGACTCGTTGAAAAATTCCTAGATGCCCCACCCCACTGGGAAATTAATTAGGCCTACCCATGATAAACTACGCAAATTTCCAACCTTTGTGGGGAAACTTGCTGGTTTTTTTTTCTAGTTCTGGCTGAAAGATTCCTCAGCTTGACAGTTGGAAATTCCGACCCCTGATAGAAATTCCGACCCCTGCCAGAAAATTACCTATATGGGATTTTGAGTTTTCTTGTAGGAAGTATATTTATCTCGTGAGATGAGATATACCACTAAAGTGAAGGAATTGTCACACATCTTATTTATATTTAATAAAACATTTATATTTCTTATTGTTATTGTTCATTCAAAAGAAATCTAGTGAAGATCCAATACAAATACAGTGAAAATCATTGCAAAACATCAAATATCAAATAGAGAACAAAACACAATTTAAATTATTCTTTTTTAATATCCAGCAATTATTTAAAAAAATAAAAACTTACTTGTCAAGTTTCCTTGCAGAATCATAAACTCCAAAAGTGACTCTGTCGTCTGCAACAGCCTTCACAATAACGTCTTTCAACGATTCACTTAAATCCATTTTATTGTTGTTACTAAAATAAGAAAGAAACAAGAAAATTAGAACATGAGAACTGTGACGTACGTTGGTTTTTTAATTGTTAAACCGTTTTCCTTGTCCGCATTTTGTCCTGCCTGACTGGGGTCATGGCACATTTGAAAGATTTAATTTAAAATGCTGAATTTACCAGCTGTTGACTTAAGCCTAAGAAAGATTTCAAGCCAAACCTTTTGATTTTCAACCGTTATTGTTAACTGAACTGAAAGAGGCCCATCTGTTACCAACAAGTTGCGACTTGTTGAAAGCGCAATGTCCCGAACACACCGCATCCAGGCCAGGGTAGATGGGTACATTGCACCACCACACCAAAATACCGGTAATAAAATGAATGAAAACGGCCGTAACACAGCATATGAAATAAAATAATTTGTAGTGCTAATAAAATATAAACTTACTTTTGCTTTTCCGTAGAATGCACAAGTGTATTTTGATCTGTATCTTCCAAAGTCATTATAATTTCTTGACAGTTCGTAATGTACGTCCACTCCCTACTAATTCCTAGTCGATTCTGATTGCTTCAGCAGTTTGTGCAGAGGATATAGTAATTTGACATTGCGTCAGCAAAACGTTGTCCTCGTGCTCTCTCGTTGTGATATCGTGGAAAGGCCAACGTGTTCAATGAATTATTCATGAATCTCCTTAGGCAGCACAATCTGATTAGTTATCCAACGTGTACGATGAATTATTCATTAACCCTTGTGATTTGATTGGTTCTGATTGTAGGTTGGTTCTGACCGGAATTGCTCTCTCATACCGGTACACATGACAACACTGTGACAAAAAAAATATACTTGTAGGTAATCAAGCTTTGAAAAACACTATTATTTAGCAACAAATTGCATAATACCTGGGATATTTTTTTTCTGAATAAATCAATAAATAAGTTTGGTTTTTTACTTGCATAGTAAATTTTTAAAGCACAGAAGTGCACGTTTGCACAGCAGACTCTTTGGGAAAGCATGGCTTTTTCTGGAGTAATCAACTCAAGACAATTGTCATACTGTACTAATGAACAAAATGAATAAAAATGACCACGTTTCAGATACAAATCTCGAAACAATATCATAATGACATCCTGAGCATAATGTTGTAATAATTAATAGGGCCTAGGACTACCAATGGCGTAACGACGAGTTATGGTGATCCGGGAGGCCGACAATTTTTGGGGGCCCTGTGTACATACCAGTAAATCATTCCCTGAAGTGGCCGAAAAACGACCGAAAAGACCGCATTTTAGACAATCAACTGTTGTTATCTCCTATAAAATATTTGCTTAAAATTGCCAATTATGCATCGCCATGATCAATTTGATATTTCTGGACATCGAAGCCTCTTCATGATGTACAAAAACTGAAATTTAAAAATTACATTTCAATCGGCAAGCCTCTCATAGAACTTATACTGTATGCCTAATACATATCTCACTATATTATTTTTCTATCTTACCATATTATTTTTCTATCTTAAGATGTCATCATACGTGTTCGAATCACATCCTCTAAGGACGAGATCATATTTTATAAATTAATTTGGTGTTGGTGTCTATATTCTACCAAGAAGGACTTGAAACTATTTACTGCAAACGTTGCAGTTAGTATATATGCCTAGGCCTAATCAATTAAAGGATTTTCCAGATATTTATAGTTAAATTACCCGTAGGTGATACTCTTTTAATTAGTCTTTTGTCACACATCTAAGCATATGTTGAAGTTTAGCCTTATTTGTTTTGCTACATGGTATTATTTATTTCTCGATCTTTTTTATCCGGCAATCCATTATGATACTGAGCATCTATGAGACACTTTGGTTACGCAATAGACATGCAACCTTACAGTATCAAGATCAACCGGCTGATTCACCATGTGGTTTTACCCATGAAGAATATCATGCGATTTAAATGACCCCCATTTTGGTGTATAAATATCGGCACGGAAATTCCAAGTACAATATAGAAAAACCCATGAGACTCACATGCTAATCAGCGTGATATGTAGACTTACAATAGATAATAAATAATTATCATAGTATATTAATCTTACTTGATTTGTTTTGGTGATTAAAAAAATAGATAATGTAAATAAAATATAAAATAATATACGGCTTCATTCGACCATGTGCAAAACAGGTACAGTGTGTATTTGGATAGAGGGCAGTGCTCAACAATTTATTAATGCCAGGATAGGTAGAGACTGGATTGCTATGAATATTAATATTCATGAGTGACCGCTGGCTTGCTGAGGTCACTGTGATCACTGCTTGGGATTTATCCCAAGATCTTCGGATTTTGATTGACACCTTGGGATCTTGGGATTTTTTGTTAACTTTTTATTAAACCTTTAAAAAAAAAAAGATTTTTGGAATGATCTTTATCCCACCCATTTAGCGGAGGGCCTATACTGTTTGCTTCAGTACGTAGGGTAGTAGATTTGAGCAAGAATATTGCACCTATTGTGTTGTAATTTGACAATTAAAAGTTCACTAAAATTCTTCAAAAATACTTTAATCTTATGCCTACCACCTTTACACTCCTGAAAAAAAAGGAAGTTATAAAAATCAACGCTTTTTTTCTAATAAAGTATGAGTTATGGTACTGGAATATTTTACGTGTATTTTTATGAATATGATTTTAATTCCGACAAGACATTCCCCACCACCACCACCATCACCTGCCCACTCCTCAACTTCCGAAATTTATACACAGTTGAATCAAAACGAACGAGATGGTCTCGAAAATCTAGACACTGTTTCGTCATACAGTAGGCCTACAGTATAATGCAATTCATTGGAAAAGCTTTGAAATTGGATTTTTAAAGAAGTTGTATGTATATAGACCTATACTAATATTTTGCGAATCTTGGAATTTTAAAGCAATCGTGGGATTTTTTTAGACTGAATCTTGGGAATTTTTCCCAGTAGTCACACTGGCTGAGATGTTGACAACACCCGACGCGACAACAAATCGCGTCGGGCTGCGTCGTACGACGCTGTCTGAGTTGGCCTTTAGTATGGTCCAAATTGTGCTTTTAGAGACAATATAATGTTATTTGGATAGGCAAATTATCGTTGTGGCATCGGACGTCAGGGGGTCCAGGCCTGCCCCATGGGTAGAGACTGGATTGCTATGAATATTAATATTGATGAGTGAGCCTCGCTGGAGCCACCACCAATGTTTGAGTACTGTTATATCTATTTTGTTTGTATTGTGCTACGCAGCACAGCAAAGTTTATCCTATCTTCTTCATTTGTTTTGTTACCATCTCGTATAATCCTACTTCAATTATATGCGTCTCTTTCATGCTTTACTGCCATTCATCCACATCTAGTATGAGCACCAGGGGGCCCAACATTATAGTTTTTGTTTCCGATTTCGTGATCAATCTGCTTTGCATTGTATATACGTTATTAAAACATGTTTTGTTTTTCACTAAAATATACTCTGTATATATTTACACCTGCATAGATTTATGCTACTTTATGCCTATACCAGTTGGCCTATGTAATCGGTTTTATCATAAAATTGTCTGAAATATTTCATCTGTCATGGACCATTCTATGTTCTCTGACAACGCAATTAACAATACATAAATGCCATAAACCTTGTCCATGACTCCCCACCTGTTAGGACCCCAGACGTGTAAAATAGTGTTGTATGATCATATGCATCACTTTAGGAACTCAATAGCACACACACCTCAGACACACCTCAGAAACAAGACAATAAATGACATACACAGTGTTTGGTATAAAACCATTTAAGGCCTAGGTACTGATTTTTAATGAACACCAATGTCAAGCCGAATCTGTGTAAAGAAAAAAATTACTGAAAGTTTTAAATTCAATGATAATTTGTTACACTACATGTGTACAGAAAAAAATATCTATAAATCTAACTTTGAGGCAGGTGGGAAACAACTCTGAATGATAATATCTTAAAAGTGCCTTGAAATAAAATAAGACAAGTAACTACTTTCAATTCTTAAGTGACAATTCCTAAATAATATTAAAAAAATACCACTCAAATTCAAAAATAATGTTTGTCGCCATTTTGTGTCACCAAATATATTCTAATCATGTATCTGAAAGCCCTTGCATTCGTTGAAACAGCAAACTGCTGCCTAGATACAAATACTCTTCTTAGTTCATCTTATTTGCAATCAAAAGACAATCAGGAATAAGAGTTGATTTTAAGGGTATTTGGAAAATTATAAGAAAATCAAATCAATTGCATTTTCCTAAAAAGGTAGATCATACAGTATATGTGAGGTGTTGTCACAAAATGAGTCTTGTAAAACATGAGATTTATCATTTTGAAAAAAATCAGATGTCTTAAAAACGCCTGATAAAATTTTCTTGTTGGTTTTCCTTTTAATTTTTAAAAATAGTTTTACTAAAAGGTACCTGAAAACTCACACGTTTTCTATCGTGAGACATAATTATTAAAAATCACTTAAATCTATTCATTAATATAAATAGACTTCTTGAATATATCAAGTTGACCTGGTGTACAACATGACTCATTTTGTCACTACACCTCACATGAGGGGCACACAACCCTACCAGAGATGCAGGGATAATAAAACCCTTAACACATATGGAGACAAAAATCTATTACCCGAATAATGGTGAAACATATTTGCAAACACACAAATCAGAAAGTGTAAATGTCACTTATGATGTATTGGAACAAAAGGCACAGTGCAACAGTATAGCACAACTGAAAACAAATGAAACCTAACTATAATGATAATAGAATATCCCAAGGATAAATGCTGCCAGCAGCAGAAAGCAAGGATATAGTGCTCATTAATAACTAAATTAATTATTTTTTAATTAGTCAATTAATTTATTAATGGAATTTCATTTTTTTCTTTCTCTTTCCATCATAAACTACTAAATGCTCACCAATTATATCACTGCACATGATCATAACATGTCCGAACAATAGCATTTTGAACAAAAAGTTATAAATCAATTTAGATAAATTATTTAAAAAAAAATTCAGATAAATGTGGCAGTAATACATGATAATCACAGACCAGTATTCACAATTTAATTTGAACTTTTTTCTATAGTTTTCTATGTAAAATAATTCTTTTAAGTAAACTGATGTAGGAGTGAAGTTTTGCTTACCTGATGTGTTATCATACTGAATACTCAGTACATTCCAACATACTTGTGAAAAAAGTTGCAAGTGATTCGGGTGTACTAAATTGGTTTACTTACAAGAATTATGTTACACAAACAATTTGATTACTTAGGTGATAAAAAATTATTAATGGAAGATATATGCCAATTATTTTTTTACAAAACAAATCATAAAACCACATCAATGAAAGGTGGTGGTCTTTAAAAAAAATATATTAGAACCAAGTATCAGTAAACAGTACATGTCATAATAAAATCTGAAAAATTTTGGATCAGAAAAAAATACATTTTTATCTCAATGATATGTTTAAGTGCTTTCATATTCAGTGGCACTATTCAACTTTTTATACTTGATATGTGAAAATTTAGATAATTTTTTTGTGATGCTTGTCAAAAGTTTACTATTGATTCAACAACAAAAACCCCAATGAACTGATAAATCTGAAAGTCAAGTCTTATACGTGTATTTGCACAAAGCCCTACAATTTTTTAGCCTATTTTTCCTAGTGTTCAATAAAAGCAAATTCAAAAGTATTCATCTGCACATAATAACCATGATTCTATTAACTTATTGTTTCCAAAATTCACATCTTGTTTTTAAAATTACTTAAATTAATTAATTTATATCTCAATTTATAACTTTGATCTCCTCATCTCCGAGACCTGAATACAAATCTTAAATCACATAATTGGACTGCTTTCCGCATTCGTCGTTTCAATTCCACTATTGATTAAATCAGATACTCTGCTTCAGGAACAGTTCATTATCTACAGAGGGGTGCTTGATGGAACCCAAATTGTCTTATTTTGTTCTCTATCAATAATTTTCTTGACAGCATTGCAAATACTTGCTAGGTTCCCTCCTGGTATTGTATCTGAAATGATAAAAGTAAGCAAATGATTTAAACTGTTGCTGTCATTTAAAATAAATTGGCTGGCTTAACACTGGAGTAAAAAAAAAATTGGTAAGAATACAAAGCTTTGACCAGCTGGAAATGGTTTTGCAAAACATTATATATAGTGTAAATCTATATACCTTGCAAAAGATCTCCTATCTCGATGCCATGCAATCACTCAAGAGCAGCCAAACCATGCAATAAACTGTCTCAATGGCAAGGAGACTAGCCGAGCGGTTAAAACAGGAGCAATGCAACCTACAGCCATTATTCGAGGGGCACGCTGGTCTATGGTTCTTCTGGTGGAAAAGTCCTTTCGGCTTAAGTACTACAAACCGTAGGCCGAGTGTACACAATTGGGGCCAATTATACACTACACATACATTATATATTTTTAGATGAGTAAAGGGGGTTACTCTAGTGTACTAATCCATATATCCCCTGTTGTGGACAGACAAAAGTAGCTGGAATTGGTTTACCGGCTCAGACACAAGTGACCATTAGGGGAGAAGGAAGCTATTGCACAAGCTAGTCCATGCCCCAAGCACTATAAGTCACTATATAAATCAATTACATTACATCACCAACAATGTCTTATATACTTTTATATATACTTTCAGTATCAGATTGACTCACAAGATCAACACATACAGTGTGTATGAGAATTGAATCCATACTTTTGTTAAGAAAATTTATTGTAAATGTATTTACATAGAATTCAGATTGTTGAACTTACCGGAGAAGAAGTGTTTGTAGTTCTGTTCCTGTCGCTGCGCATTCTCAAAGAGCTCCTTTGCCTGTTTGTAGTGCACACGTTCAGGTAAAAATCGTGGATCTCGTTGCTCCCTATGAAAACAAAGTCACATCACTATATTCTATGTTTCAATTAAAAATGTGTTCATTTTAAGCTTATCAAATCCATCAACTTCTAAATGCATAGTTCACTTCTGTGTAGCTTTACAAACAAGCTCTCAAGTTGTTTAGCTATCTATTAAGGGTCTGAGGGCATCTGCAGTTTGTGTTGGGCTGTCAGTTCAAAGGGTCCTTCTTGGCAACCATCTAGCTTGTAATGTTTTATTATATTTATATTATACACAACACTAACAGTATTTTGGTTGGAGTTAGTTTTGTCATTTTGAGAATTTTTTTTAACAAGGAATAAAAACATAATAGAAATTTTACTTACTTGATTTGTTTTGGTGATTTAAATTTGATGTAGATGACAATAGGGTAAAGATGAAGTCTATGAAGTCGTTCAACAGCTGACGGACAAATATCTACAAGACAATGGCAACCCTACAAAAAGAAAAAGACAATGCATTACATAAAGCAATGCATTACAGAAAGCAATGCCTTAAAAACCAATACAATTGCAGCAGGTACTTCTACAAAACCAAGCATTGAACAATAACTATATTTCCAACACACAGTACAGTATACACCATACAGCCTGACGCACAAGAAAACAATGATGATTACAAACATTTAATAAATAATTGTGTCAGTCTTAACCCTCTAGATACCATCTTCGACTGTAGTCGAAATTGACCTCAAACCGAGAATTCCCATTTTCGAATACAATCGAAATTTCGTGACTAAAAAATAGGTGGTTTTCAAATCGCTCTTCTGTTTTTATTTTAGCTCCAATACGTCAGAAATTTTGAACACGCATGCGTGAAGCTTTTGTCTTTCGAAATCTGTGAAGAACTCACATGCGCTTATATAAAAATTTTTAGAAATATCAATTTGAATTCGTTATTAATTTCAAAATTTTTTCGAAATGGCCGCACAAGATGTGTACACAGCTGAGCAAGCGATTGACCTGATTTTTGATTCAGACAGCGATGAAGGTGAATTTTTAGATGTGCGAGACTTAGACGTGCCTGTTTAGCGATGAGGACGGTGGGGCTTCAAGCAGTTCTGACGGCAGAGATGTTCTTGATGACGATGAGCCTAGGCCTAGAAATGTGAGGGTAGTCGACGCTTTTGAATGGAAAGATCGCGCTTATAGTTATGGATGGTTGGGTAAATAATTATATAACTGTGTGGAATAGGAATGTTTTATTTATTTATTTTTTTTGGGGGGCTATAATTTATTTTTTTTTTCGGTTTTTGCTGACGATTTATATGTAGCATTTTTCTGTCATTTCTATTATATTATATATATATTATATCATATTATATTATGAAAAAAAAATTCCCAAAAATACAAATTATACATCAAATGAAAGCTTATTCTATAAGCTTTCTTTGTTTTTAGAAACATTTTTCTGTATAATTTACAGAAAGTTCCCAAAAATCCACCAGAGCGACGTATACTCAAAAAACGCAAAAAACCTTGTTACACTGCAAAAGAATCCGGTATTCAAGGGTTTGCACTATAAAAGAATCCGGTATCCAGAGGGTTAAGTTGTGTCCTTACTACGTAGCAAATTAGATATTTATCACGTAATATTGAGCGTGTCCAGAACTTTATTGAGTACATGTTGCCATGGCTTCTAGTATATCACATTTTACTCTGGTCATTGTCAAAATATTCAATTCCATGATGGAGTACTCCACAATATGTGCATTGGTAACAAAACCTATAAATTACTCACTTACACTAAAGCAGAGACAAGACAGATAGAGTGTCTTGTCTTAAGACTAGAGTCAGAAGCCACAATAGGAGCTAAACACAACTTTAAAGATTGATAAAACAAAACGCAACAGCTGCAATGAGCCTTTTTCTGGAATATAACTTGGTTACCTGCTTGCTAATTTCTTTGATGGTTGATGTATGCACGCATTCAAATTCCTCGCCGTTCCGGTGGTAGTCAATGAACACACTGTCAGAGATTGCTTTCTCAATTGAGATCAATGACATCTTCATCACTTCTGGGTGGCATCTGGTGAACTTGTCTGGTGATTCCAACTCTAGTTTCTCATTGACTCTGTCATTTAGAGGGCCAATTACCAACACCGGCCTCTTCTGGTTGTCTGCAAATTAATAAACATTAGATATCAGTCCTTGTAAAAATTGGGAAATGATCAAAAATTCAGATATAGTTTCACTGAATTTCAGATTTTGTGCTAAAACTATTTTTTATTGTTGTATTTTTTAGTCTCATATTTTTAGTCTCATAACAAGGTTTATGGAGTAGAGTTGTTTTGTCGCTAGAAAAAATCCTGGAATCTGACAGGAATTGAAACAAGGACAATAGGATTGGAAGGCGAGCATCTTAACCACCAAGCTATTCAACTCCACTCGAGTGTATATATTGTGAGTGTGTAGCAAGTAAAACAATGGTGTTAATTAATTAATGTCAATCAAATTTAGATCAAAAGTGATGTACTTACAATCAAGTCTTTCAACTCTCTGATAAGTTGGGATGAATATATCTGTGGAAAATATAAGAGTATGTCATCATTCACAAGTAGTATCAACAGAAATATATGTCACGTTAGGTTATGTGCTATGGTATTTTATGCCATTGTTACATGTACAGGTGCCATGCACCATTGATATGCAAATTACTTGCAGTTAAAAGACCTTGGCTCTTTGTGATTCGGGTAGTCATTGAGTGCGGTAAAGGCTTGGTGTTAGGTCAAAACGGTCTGTGACTATAGTTTGATAAGCCGGGAACAAATAGGCCTTAGTATATACCGTACGTGTAGATGTCAGGATAGACATGGATTATGTTAACCTATAAGCTGTAAACATTACAACAATTGTAAGTAGGTTTTAAGAACAGATTGTGGGTAATATTTCTAATTAGCACTTATTAGTGAGATGAATATTATTATTGTAAAATGTCTGGTATTTTACTGCAGGTGGCCTCGTGCCCGTGATATACCTTCGTTATAGTGGTGGATAACCTGTTGACACATTGCGTTGCATGAACTGATTGACTACTCATTCGAAGCCTGTTTTGGGAATCGTGTGTTAGAAGTTCATGCAGTACTCACACTTATTATTGAGAAATACAGTTTGGAACAGTTTACCAATTCAAGCTGATATGTATATTGGACAATGGATAAGTCATGAACATTACATTGATTTGAACTCTGAATATATGTTAATAATCTATATGTTCAATTTATGCTTACATATTAAGTATGGTTCGTTATTACATGGACAATGTGATGACAGTTTCAAAGCCAATAAATTTATGAATGGTATCTTGAGTCTGTAATTATTTACCCGTGTGACAATATACTACAGATAATTTGGTCAAAGTTTAAAAGTTACGAGAGCAGCTTAGCTCAGTTGGCTAATCTGGTGGTAGCCACTATGTATGCACTGAACATGGAGATCTATATGTCCCTTTTGTTACAAGCCCCTTGTAATGCAAGTTATGATAGTGCACACCATCCATCGGATGAGATGCTTACGCCGCTGGTCCCATGTGCATGTTAAAAAACACAGTACACTATTCGGAAAAGAGTAGGGGATAGTCTCCCAATGTACAATGACTTATCAGTACCAAAAGGACGCCACTGGAAATAAGCCTTCTTCTTTAGACTTTCGTGGGTTATCCTTGGTGTTTACCCAACTAAATCCGTCCATCCACACACACCAGTAATGGAATAGATATCTATTAATTCCTATAGCTACTCATATAAATTGTTATCACAATTCCATGTAGCACCTCTCATAAACAACTTAACAGCAGAATAATTTTCCTGCTCATTGGATGTACACTGTAAATCTGCCACCCTCCTTTACTATTACAGGAATCCAGAAATCTATATACTATACAATTGTGTTTTGAATACCATCTTTGCAGGTGAACTATTATTCAGGGCCCCCTTAAATTATGAAATACAGCTTCATAAACTATGTCTCATTATGAAGTGGAGATGTTTCAGTCATAGGGAAAAATTCTGGGATGCCTAGGGCCCTGGCTTTGGAGTGCAGGCATCATAGCATTGCTACATCTCCGCGACTGCATTGATTTCATATTGAGTTAAAAATGTAATTAAATTTCTGCATAAATTAAAATGAAATGTTATAATGGAAGCTCACCATCCATTATCGGAACATCTGACATTGATTGAGTCTCAAGGGCATTCAACTCCCTACTGTCTTTTGAACTTTGTCGTTGATGATGCTTCTTGCGTCGGAAGAAGCTTCCACGTTTTCCGCCCACTGATCTGCGTGACGTTGTATGTCGAAGGTCTTCATCCTCAGAATAACTTCGCTTTCTAGCTAGATCTTGTTCAAACCTTAAATAAAAATAATACAATTAAATGCAAAGTTGATTTCTTTGTACAATTCAAACATCTTTGCAAATTATATTAGATCACAGATGTAACGATTATGAGGCCAATATCTATTAACAAGATGCTGAAATAAAAAAAAATTAAAGGCTATTCTATTAAAATTTCAACAATCATAGTACTGAGGGCACTCTATTTCATCAATAATGTCTTATACTCATTTACTGTAGAAAGACTTGTACTCCAATACAGAAACTATCAAAAAGAATTTCATATACATTATAGGAAATGTTTCATACTGGAGGCAGCAACTATTTAGTAAATAATAGAATTACAAACAAAAAAACTTACATTGTTTTTCCTAGTATGTGTCCATGTTTAATTTTTTGTCCATTTTCTTCAACTATCCAGGAATGCCAGAGCCCAATTTCACCATTTGCCATCGTGTCATCAACAAACAAAATTGTTCCTTTCTTAAATGACAGGAAGTTTTCATTGTCAGCTGCATAGCGGCATTGAGCCTCGATGTAGAAGGAATCGCATGGCTGCTCTTGGATTTTATTGAACTCTGAAAAAAATGAAAGGATTTATGAACAACTTGCAATTGACTCTAACATAACCTTTCAGATTTTCAAAATTTGTTTACATTCAGAACAAAAAACCATCTTTAATATTTTATGGCTATGCATAAATTGAACCATAATGGGATTTAGTTCAAATCCACTCACATACCAGGATTTTTGCTGATAAAAATAGCTCCCTCTCTAAGCCTCATAATGTCGCCGAAGCTTGGATTAGACCTTTTTTGGTCAAAGTAAAAGTGAACTGGGTCAGTTTGAACAAACATAATCCAGTGCGAACAATCTGCATAACATTCTCCATGGTCAAATTACTCAACTCGCACATTAAGTTTAATCCAAAGAAACATTCACCAGAGAAATAACCACACTGCATCTCCTAAGCAGATATGTTCAATGCGAGAAAAGCAACTCAGTTAAATGTTGCCAAGCATGTACTAATACCGAGGAAGTCACTTAAATTTTCACAGAATATGTTCAGACTGGCAATGCAATGTAATCAGTTACATAGAATGTAAACCTATTACGTATTTAAATCCAAGTGTAAACAGACAGTACAATCTGACCAATGTTACCCTTTGTCTTGTTCAAAGTTCATCCAATGTGAACACTGACATTAAGTTCATAAAGTATCTGCAATCAGCCAAATGTTTCTAGAGCTCCACATGACGGCAGTATAATAGAGGTAGTAGATCTAAAAAAGTTCTATTAATCAATCAACTATTAAGCAATCAGCCTTATGAGGGCAGTATAATAGATGCAGTAGGGCTAAAAAAATGTATTAATATACTGTGAACTTACTAGCAACATTGTACTGGGCAAGGATTGTTATTGTGTCTGTTGGTTTCTGGAATTCAAGCGCTGCTTGCTCTGCAGTAGCAGACCGTAAGTCAACTCCATTGTACTAAGAAAAATGAAAATATCACAAAAAAAGTGAACCCAAGCAAAGTGAGTGATTAATTAAGTAGTACACAAACAAATGTACAAGAAATTTAAATTAGGTTTAGAAAGATACTCAAATTGAATGAATTAGACAGGATTAGATTTTACAAAGAATAGAAAATTATCATCAATATATAAATCACTAAAAACTCATTACACCAATACAGAAATTGAGAGAATAAGGCTTACAAAAAATATAAAATTTGCTAATTCATCATAATTATTCAATTAACTATATTTATCAACACTGTTAAATATATATTTTAGTGGTATCATTGGAACCAGAAGATAGACTTGACTACTTTCAAATTTCAAATGTGAATAATTCCTGCAATATGCCTATATATGGGTATGATATGAAATCACCATGCTCATATATGGGAAATTCAAACAAATATGTAACAAGTACAGCATTGAGATGTTCTACAAACTAATTATTTATGAAACCTACCTCTAAGATCTGATCACCAACACGTAGACCATCTGGTCTGTTAGCAATGCTATCTGGTTGAAGCTCAGAAACAAATATGCCGCTTGCATTCCCACCACTGGTACTGATCCCGAGGGATGAGCTCAATTTACGCAGGAAAACAAAGCGAGGTTCACAAGGCATCGGAGAGTCATCCATAATCGGAGAGCTGTAAAAAAGAGTAGTTTAATCATTTGTTTTATTAAGTCAAAAATTATAATAACTAGAGTACTCCCTGTGACAAATTTCAGTCCTAGAACATAGGGTGAGCTAGGTCTAATTATTTTTTCCCATTTTCTCAAAGGTTAATTACTGTACAACTAAAAAAAGAAATTGTTAAGTTGTAACTATTATTTTACTTATGTAGTAAATATGATTTACACTGTAACACTAATGCAATTTGATTTTATATTATAGTTAGCTATGCCAACTCTTCCTTCTAATGGATGTGTTTTGGAGTGCAATCTACAAGGTACAAACACTTACAAAAAATGTTCATTATAGCAGTGAAATTTTTCATGACTACAGGCAGGATTAAATAAATGCTTATATACAGCACAATGGTGGGTGTATAGATACCCACACTCCTATTGGTTCACTCCAGTTCCCATTTTTTATAAGGAATTCAATGGCTTGCCTGTCATGCCAAAATTACTCCTTTATGGCCTATTGTTTTATGACAATGATGATTTCAATCTACTGTTCAAACAACAATATTAATATTATTATACTAGTTTGACTTTTATAGCATAAATTAATGAAATATTGCATGCTTTTGATTCAATAGATTGATTGAACATTTATTTACATCTGAAACTCATTTTATATTTTATATGATACTGTATTACTGCATAGATTAAATCTTGAGATTGATTTAACAGGTAACTTTAACCTGATTATAAACCACTGGTTAATACTATATTCATAATGATTAACGATCTGATGACCACAGATTTTAAATCACTTACTATATTAAAATGATGTATTTTTAGAAAAATGTTTTGTACCTATTGAGATCTAAACCAAAGACCCTACCTGAAGCTCATGCTTGCCCTTGGGGTTGGAGGCGTGACAGTACCATTATCTGACGCCATTGCAGAGGGCGGTCGACTACTGACAGGTGAATTCGTTGTAGTACTGATAGGTGTGGCTGTTGGAGTGGTCTGGTTACTTGCGCACACTGATCTCCTCTCAACTGAATGTATTTCTATAGATCAAAATAATTATCGATGGTTAAAGTTGTTACTTATGTTGACAATAATAATCTACAGAATCATCAGTTCAGATTATAGAAAATATAAAATAGAAACAAAATATATTTTATTTCAATTTACAATCAAACAATTAACTGATACATACACTTACTGCATGAACTTACAAGTATTACAAAGATAGGAATTAATTAGCAATAAAAAAAAGAGTTAACACTACAAAAACATAATCTTAACTAAATTTATGATAAAAATGGAAAGATGGAGGTAGTTTGAATTTTTTTCTTACTTTCTGGGTTGTACTGGGCCAATATCTGCACACTGTCTCCTCCTTGCCAAATTATCTTAGCAGCAAGGTCATAGGTTGATTTTCTCAAGTTGATTCCATTATACTGTAAGGGGAGAATCAAAATATCATCACAATTAAAGATGTACTGTCCCTTGCAAAAAACAAAAAACAAAAAAAATCATAAAAATCATTTTTGAAATTTCTTGCCCATTTTGAAGTAACATAAAAATTATCAACTTGAACATTGAAATTAGTGTATTTAAAAAATGCTTACCCATAAAAACCATCATTTTACAGCAAAAAAATGATAGAAATTATTATCTTTATTATAATTATCCAGTTAAAAAATCAGGGAACATATTTTTTAATTTAATAATTTCTATGCTCAAGTTTATAATTTATTTATTTGTGAAGAGATCATTTGTTTAATGGTCTCAAAAAAAAGAATATAAACAGAAATTTTAAAACTTACTTCTAAAATTTGATCCCCAGTAACAAGGCCAGCTCGGTGGGCTAGGCTACCTGGCTGCACATCTGTCACCATTATACCGCCGTCAAATCCCATGCTTATCGAGATACCAAGTTGCTCGGAGCTCTTCTCAATCGATATTGTTCGAATTTCTTGCTCCCTAAAACAATGAGGAAAGCCAACAGATATTTAAAATTTGTGAAAACTATTTTTTTTTTCTGCTACTGGATGTAGTCTATAATCAAAAAAGCTTCATATCTATTTAAATTTTACTTTTGAAGAATACCAATTGATTTCATTGTTTGAGCTGAAAATGTAGAATACTATCTGCAAAACATACAAAATAACAACAATGGTGTTGTGTAGGAATACACAGCAACAAACTCATTTAATTACTAATTCCTTAGTTATGAGGCGAGTACAGTTGCAGCCCTCATGGTTTACATCTTACTAGACACATAACCATAATATTCAAAATTTAAATTGTTAAAGTTACCTTGGACGAGGACGTGGTAAAGTGTAAACACTCTCGGTTATAGAGGCCAATGAGCTCCGCCCTGAGATATTTTCTGGAATGGAGGGAGACATAGCACCATCACCAGAGCTGTAGGATTTGACAGATGCTTAAATGAAAGACAAAAGCAGCAATTATCATTTGGTTTCTCTAACAAATATACACCATTACAAATCTGAAGATTCAGAAAGTTTCTCAAAAAAATAAAGAAAAATGAACTTACTTCTTTCCAGGGAGTTGGTAGACTGGGTTGGTCCTGGACTCATTCGGTGCTTCCCTGACGACAGCTGAATTCGCTCTGGACGGGGGAAGGATGTAGGAAGGGATAATGTGCCTGCGTTTGGTTGTGCCAAATACTGCTTCATCTCTGGTGTTATATTTTCAAGAATGCGATTGTTGTTATTACTACTTTGATAGTGTTCAGATGGAAGGGTCATTGACCTTCCACCGTACATTGTTTCTGATAATGGTGATTTTACGCGGTCATTATGTCCTGGCCGACGATTTACAGGCGAGCTTTCTGCCATGTAGCTGGGGACGACATACTGGTGTCGCACAATCTGTGATGTGGCAGGAATGCTTGAGAATGGTTGCGTTCCTGGATTAAATTTAAAATTGGCAGTAGATGTCGGGCTGGTCCAAGCTTTACTTGTTGAGTTATGCTGCTTGCCGTTATAGTACTGAGGTTCCGATGTTTTTAGTCTTTGGACTTCACTTTGCATGATTGCACTTTGATTAGGTTTGGCAGAACGAATTGAAGATGACCGGGAAACTTCAAGAGGTAATGAAGTGCCTTCCCGATTGACGAAGTCTTCGCTTGTATCCGGTAATGAAACTGATGCCATGTGCATACTATGAACTAGTCTGGGGTTCGTCTCCCAAATTTCATGTTGGTTGGATTGCAAAGGCAATGATTTATCTGAGGGCGCTTTGTTTGGTTGACGTACGCTTCTTTGTGGACCATTTGATCTGCTTGTCTCTTTTTTGTTAGGTTCGCAAAATATATATTGGTTAACTATAGGAATGATGGTTTCACGGTTGCTTTTCGGTTTCTTAGGATTACAAAGTTCTTCAGGAGGTTGACGAGATTTTGGCCATGTTCCACGTTGACTTCTTGGTGACTCAATGGTCTCCGATGGCCGGTGGTCTTTATCACTACCGTTAAATTTCCCCCAGTCTGCTTTATGGATATTGCGAGAACTAGGGTTCTGGGTAGGAATGCGAGGTTTATCATTTGGCTTATGCCTAATTAAATGTTCGTGGGAATGTTTAGAGGAGTCTTGTGGTGTATTCTGGGATACTGGATGTGCATATCCATGGGAATGCTTATCCTGCGAGTTCTGGCGTTGGTGGGAGTGTGAGCTTTCTCTTTGGTGTGACCCGTGGTGTTTGATATTTTCTTTTGGACCGCGTTGTTCATGTCCACGTTCTTGATGATGCATTGGTGCATTGTGCATTGTCTGCAACTGCCATGGATCATCGGATCTTTTTGAAGTGCTCCTTCCTTTTCTGTCATGTATTGGTCCATGGTGGATTGAGAAATGCTCATCTGTTTGTGATGTTATTTGGATCGGTGTGGCATGATAAATATCTTTTTTCGTTCTCTCTAATGTAGTATTCTTACACTCTGTATTCGAAGCCTCTCTGCGCTCAATCTTCTCATGCACCTCTGGAAACGGTGCAAGACTGGATTTGGATGAAGTGGACTCCTGGCTCTTAATGGAGTCGAATGTCGGACTTGTGCTCGTAGAGAAGGAACTGCTACTACTTGATCGCAAGATGCCAATAAGGATTGGATCACCTGACATCTGCAACATTTTCTCTACATCCCTTGTAGTACGGTTCTCAAGCTGTATGCCATTGATCTATGAAATGCAACATATAATAATGTTAGTCTTAATGGGTGTCATTCAGCACCACATGTGGCAAAGACGAGCTAAACGAGTCACTCGTCGCAAATCCTGCTTCACAGACAATAGCCAGAACATGCTGGAATGTCAACATTTTTGAAGTCTATTTTATTACACTAAAGTAACCTTTACATATCTATATATCATGCTATGCTGTTATTTTCCCCATTTTCAATGTTAAAACAACAATTTTCAACAATTTGGTGATGGTTTCTGCCTGAAAAATGCCCAAAATCATAAACTTTGCAAGCTGATTTCTCAAAGATTGTTCTTAAAACAGCTGTATGTTAAAACTCCTGTAACTTTATAACGAAATGTCGGATTTAAATGATTCTTTTTACCATTTCATAGCTCTCATTTTACTGTTTAACTTTGTATCAATACCTGAAAACAAATTTTTGCGACGAGTGACTGGTTTGGATGGTCTTTGCCACATATGAGGAAAGATGTCATAATGGGGGATTTCTTCCCAGTTCAACGTCTTCCCCTTCCAAAGCTTCACCCTCAAACAAATTGCAAAACACTATCATACTAATATCGAATAATAATTATGAACAATCACACAAAGATAACAATAATATGATACACCTGGACTTTCATTTTTCCCATCAGGTGAGAAACAATTCTAAACAAAATACTTACTGATATTATCCTGTCACCAACAGACAGGCTGCCCTCTTTAGCTGCAATAGATCCTGGACTTATCCTCCTGATGTAGACTCCTGACTCCAGACTGAGTCCATGATCTTCTCCAGCTAGGTAGAGCTTGACAGAATGCACCATTTTGCTAGATGAGCACCTCCGTCGCTTCACGACCTTCAGGGAAAAACCATGAAATAGCAATTTTATTCTTCTGGTTAGTACTACCACAATAAAATGTAAACAGTTATATTATCAATCTGATGATGTGGAATATAATATATGATTACAGCTACTGCTGCTCACATTGTTACAAAATTCAGAGTTGTAGCTATAGAAAACTAAGGGTGTCTGGGTGAGAGACATTCCAAGTGTGGGTGGGTGATAAAACTGGTAAACTCTAAATAAGAAGAGTGGATTTTAAGGATGAAAAAGTAGGTTAAGAAGGGTGGGTGGAGGGCCATGAAATTAGCTTTAGACTGGGTGGAAAACTTCAAGACCATAACTACACATCTGAAAATTGTAACTGGTAGGACACAAATGTACTGTCTGAATACAATGATGCACAACATATAGACCTGTTTTTATCATCCACCAACAATTAAGATGAACTGTAATGCTTTGACAGCTCATTAAGAACTTAGTGAGGTGAGTTGTATGTTTTGGGAAAAATCTGTGTGGATTTGAAAACTGTTCCAGAAGTATACAAACATCCTATGACATAAAATAGGTCATTTCCAAGAAGGCATATGTGAGGGTTTGTTGGCCATATGTTTTCGTGTTAGCAGCTGGAGTGAAAAGTACTTAGTGTTGGTACTAACGATATTGACAATGCCTCTGCACTTCTTCAAGGCTTCTATTGCTGTGTTACGATCATTGACATTTGTCATGTTGATATTATTCACTTTCATTATGTAATCATTGACCCTGAAAAAAGAGACAAATAAATAATAGCACATTAAATAAATATATGACAATAAACATGATATCTATCATTTACCAAAATGTAGAGTAGGGGTCCTCAAATGTAAGGGTACTATATGCTTTCCACATGGATTTCATATGACATTTTCAAGCTGACCCACCAATGATTGCTATATTTAATGGTTAATTTTTTTAAATTTATATAGCGCAAAATACAAAAAGTCTCTATGGGCAGTAAAACACAAGCGTAGAGATGTTAGGAAATGTGAAAGAATGAAAGTACCAAGCCAAGCGAGCACTCAAACCGCAGTATGGGGATACACCTTCGTCGCTAACAAGGGACTGAACCCTGGTCAGTACCTGTTGACCATCAAAAATTTAAAGTATTTCAACATCATCTAGTGCTGCCTAATAAATACGCTTAACACAATCTTTTTATTTTAAATTACAGATGAGAAGATGGTTTTAATAGAAGTCTTGTATGCATTTTATTTATTTTTTCTTTATTTGCTATATGTCTCTAAATTAAGTTTAGTCACAGGGAGGGGGAGGAGGGGTATGCGGGGGTGAAGTAATTACTAGCCACTAGTCACGACAATTGTGTGGCTATTTGGCTTCCCCAGGTAGATTATTATAGACTGAATTTTCATAAATAAATGAATAAATTAACTTCCTGACTAATAATAAGAAAAGAATAAGTGAAGTCTTCGTACCTGAGTCTTCCGTCAGCACGGCTCCCTTTGTCGACTTTTGATATAAAGATGGTGGAGCAGTCATCTGTCACATGACCATTGCTCTTACGATCCCCAAAATCAAAGCCTAGCACACTGGCATCACATTCCTGCATGAAAATATAACAATTATTATTATTTAACAAATAAATAATTTCCATCAAACATTAAATTGTTTCCATGTGATTTTTTTTCAAAAGGGGGAAGGTATAAACGAAGGATTCTTTCAAATGTCTGAAGGACAATGATGCTCATTAAGTATCAACTTTAGTATCAACTTCCACCATATTGTTGTTCACACTTGAATTATTAAATGAAAACCTTACCTGTGGCCTAAAGCCTTGTTGAACTGGATTCATTTTTACAAAGATGAAGGGTAACATTTCCTTAAAAATAACTGTTGTTTACAATTTGATTTGAAATAACTAATAATGAAATATAGTTGTTGATTCAGGCAACGTATAGTGCCCGATGAAATTTAAATATATATATTTTTAAAATTTTATTTTTCTTCTTAATACTGGGTGTCCTGTTCAATTTTTGCTCGAGTAAAACCAGTCTAGCTACTCCCTTCTGGGGACAATTTTCTCAGCTGATCTTTCCACTTAATGCAGAAAATTTGACAATGAGGAATGCTATCCAGGCTGTCTGCACTAACTGACAGGGTTGATGTACGTACCTCCTCAGTTTCAAACTCAAATTCTATTGTTTCCGTTTCCCATTCTTGAAAGTCTGCATCAATGGCAGAATCTCGACTATGCGTAACAGATTGTTTCATTCTACGTTCATGCTCCCCTGAAATAATCTTTGCTCTAAAAAAGAAGAAACAAACTTAATGATTACCAGCATACTTAAGACACACCTACATTGAGCATGTATGTTTTATTACTGTTTGTGCTGAGCCGATAAATTTGAACCGCAAAATAGATAATATAAATTTGAATAGCACATTTTGTATTTATAGCATGTAGCATATTTTGTATTTATTTAATCATATAACATATTTTGTATTTATTTAAGCAAATATTTAGCTTTCCATTTAATATTATAACTACAAAATGTTTACCTACACTTAACAGTTTGCATTATTTATTTATTTATATTTGATTTCTGGTGGTTAAGTATTGTCACCATCATGGACTTTATTTAATCTTGACAATGTTCTAATAAAGAATGAAATGTAGAATCGATTACTAACATACCAAAAATGTTTACATTCATTGGTAGACTATAAAACACCAAGTAGTTTAACTATTTAAGAATACTCACTTTGTCTCTTTAAGTTCTTTAGTTGCGGAGCTAAGCTGCCGTTTCATAACATCTGATGCTCTCAAAGCCTCAGCGTAATCGGCGACAGCAAGGTCACGTTCTTTACGTAGTTTATCGCACATTGCTTTGATGCTATCACGTTCTTTAACTGTCTTTTCCCATTCACTAAATGCAAAATCTCTCTGCTTGCTCTTATTTGTAACATCCTTCTGTAGGTCATTGCCCTCGCCTTCTAACATTTCAATCCGTTTACGTAGTGCACCAAGCTCCTGACTTGCCATATCAAACTCAGAGCGCATGTTTTGCTTCTGCTGAACAGCGTTGTAGCATTGCTGTTGCATAGCTTCGTAGTCGGTAATAGCTTGGATGCGCTCGTGCTGGGCAATGTCACGTTCTTGGCTAAACTTATCACATTCCTCTTGAACCTTGGCTCTGTCTTGTTCAATGGAAGCAAGGATACTATTCATCTGTAAACAATTTGTCTCAAATTTTAGTTTTTCATCTTTTAAAACTTGTAATTTTCTACCTAATTGTTCATTTGAGTGTTTCACTTGTTTTATCTCAAGCTCTTGGTCTTTCAGTTTTTTTTCACTCTGTTCAACTTGTTCATGTAGTGAATTAATTTCCCTATGTACCGTGTCGCGTTCTTTCATTACAAGTTTATGTTCAGAAACTGCAGCGTCACGTTCCTGGGTCACCTTCAAGAGACTTTTCTTTGCATCTTGATAACTTTTACTATAATGATCTCTTTCTTGAATTCTACTACGCAGATCTTGTTCAAGTTTTTGTCTCCGTAAAATTTCTGCATCTAATTCTCGTCGCGCTGAAGTGAACTGATGCTTCGCATGATTTAACTGTTTTTGTATATATTCCCTCTCGGATAAAATAGTTTCATTTTGTTTCTGTAATTGGGAACAATCTTCATTCTTTTGTTCTAAAATACTCTTAGAATAATTAAAATCCGTGATGAGATCAGCATGCAATTTTCTCAGTGCTTCATGTTCTTTTTTCAATGACTCCCATCTGTCTAAAGCGGTGTCATACATTTTGTTTAAGACCTCAGACGAGCCAGAATGGATGACCTTGCGATCCTGACGGCGTAGCTCACTAAGTTCTTTGTAGTGTTCATCATGGTGCAGTTTTAGATTCTGATATTCTTTGATGGATTGATTCAGTTTGCCTTGTAAATCACTTCTATCCAGTTTCAATGACTGAACCTCTTTCTTCATAGACTCATTATGTTTTATCACACTGTTATGTTGCTTTCTGTAATAGTCAACCTCCCGTAGTGCTTGATCATAGCGTGATCTCAAATCTTTTAAGTCCGATGACAATCTGGATATTTCATAGTCAACACTAGACCTTTTGCTCCCATTGGGAACCATGACTTCATCCCCGTTCTGCATGACTATAGGTTCCTGATGACAATATTGACCGCTGCCTTCGCTAGTTCCATAATGTGGTACGTTTGTCTTTACCTCTGTCTGACGTGTAGGGTATCTTGTAATGCCACGTGGACCTGCAAATGATGAATTTGAATAAATATTAGTAAGATATATCCACATTTCCCTTGTGCTATTACCTTCACATGGTGGGGGAGGCTTGCGTGTCTCAGAGACCCCTGTGAGTTATACCAAGTAGGTTCAACCATGTCGGGCAGGTCACGGGATAGAGGCCAGACAGAAATTAGCATCTGGTCCTCCAGGTTAGGTTGGACGTGGTGCTAACAACTCCACCCCGCAAAAAACATTTTGTTACGGAAATGACAAGATATCCACATTAGGAGGTTGTAAACAACATTAATCAGTCATATCTGATGTTTTTAGACGGTCCCTAGCTGAACCCAGGTCAGTAGTGGTGATTAAATTTATTGTATTGAACTATTAAACAACACAATTGAAAATGTAGAAGCTGAAAAAAACATCTGAATTATCCTATAGTACGGTTTCATGAGTATACCTCAGACATGTACACAAACAAAGAACAGCCTGGGATAAGCCCTTTCTTAAGACAAAACCAAGGAAAACAGTATGGGATTATCGCATATCAAATCAAATACTAGGGGAACAGCAAAAGACAAACCTATCCCAAGTCCAACTCAATGGAAACATAAAACCACTTTAGTGCAAATGAAACCACCTAGAATATTCTCTTCTATGAGATACAATACAATGGGGATGACAATCTTCCCTCCCATACTGTAGTAGGAAGGAAAGCAGTACATTCCCTCCCCCAAATGACAAAGAAATTGCCAGGGACATTTCCTTTTAAAGTAAAGAAAAGGGAAATCCTGAACAGTAGCATAAGATAACCCCACTCCGCTAGTACCAGAAGGAAACTGGGGCAGTGTCTTCAAAAGTAACAGCCTGCGAGTTTACTTTTAGTGTACCACTTGGGCCAAAAACAAGGGAGACAAATGTCCAAATAGTACCTACTGTACACTGCAAAACTCTTATCGGTACTTCCATATGTCTGTAGATTTTTTCTTTACTACAATATTTTATTGTATTCTATTAAAACCATAGGTTTTAATTTGGATAATTAAATATTCAGCATCAAATGATGAATACTGTAAAGTAAATCACATGGAAGCATCTGATAGTATAATCTACTGAACAATTAATCATTAATACATTCAGTGTACATAATGTCAAAGGTCATATTTCACCATTGGTACTTGATCTCATATCATTACAGAAAAAAAATTCAAAGAAATTAGAAAAGATGTGATCATCTCTTATTTCAATAAAAGAAAGTGCAACACAGGTAATTCCTTCTGGGTATTATATCTGTAAGGGCAAAAGTGTTTCAAGAAAAATGTTATAACCATGGAAACTATGTTCACATTAGACATTTTTGTCAAGCTTTATATAGGATTTCTGACTCGGAATGGAGATTATTTCTGATTCATACGACAATACATACATACAAACTAATTTATTTATTTATTTATTTACCAAATTTCTATAGCGCCCATTTCATGAGTAATCATGTTCAAAGGCGCTTTACATTAAGAATACAAAAAAATATAAATTAAAAATAATACTACAATTATTATCGATTATATACAAGTTAATTAAAATAATTAGATAATAATCTTAAATGAACCAAAATCAATTGAATTCACAGTTGACAATGAAAAAGGGCTCGTCCCCATCTAAGGATGTTCAAGACACAGTGACATAAGGTTACACTGAACCATCCCTCTCCTGGTAAATACAATACACACAGATTACTCACATTCGGAATTATTCAATGAATCTTTACAGTATTCTATAAAGTAGAAAGGCTTGTAATTATAGACAAAGAGTTTTAGCTGTGCCATAGATGCCCTTCCCAGAGACGCCCTTCTTGTCATCCTTCCAATGGACATCCGTTCAGATGTCTTCCCATTGGATATCCCGTGCTTAGCGACATTAGCTACAGTCGCCTTGCTCACGATGTTGCCATGGTGAGTTGTAAATCAATGTTAAGGAAAATTACTCTATGAAATATTTTTTCTCTAAGAATTAAATATTACTATTTTCAAATGACTTCAATGACTTATCATTGTAGAACAAGTACCTACTGTAATTGAAAAAAAAAATGATTTATAACAATTTTTAACCAAATTTATTTCATAATTATACTATGATGATCAACCTGTGAAGAATTTAATTACTTAAATATTTAAGAAATCAATTAAAATATATTAAATTAATCTAATAAATTTTAATGACTGAATATATTTAAGTAGTAATAAATAAATGCAATTAGGCAGACTGTAGTAACAGCATATACTGGTACCTTGATAATGCAGGGGAACTGCAATACGACGCCTTGTGCGGAACATACTGTATCACCAAAGTTATTAATCCAATTGAATAGCAATCAGAAAATTATAAGTACAGTACTTAATTAATCCTTTAATCTATTAATGCTTCAATCAAAATCTTAAGTTCAGCAAAGCTGCATCGATTGTGCAAAGAATATTTACATTTCAAACGCGGAATTAATACTTCATGTCGATTCCACAGACACACATTTCTAATTGAGGAGTTTTCACATCCTTTTTGCGAATTAAACATCAATCCAACAATTTAAAACAGATATTGCTGGTATAGCCTCAGCTTTATTATTTACCAAAGGACTTGATTGAAGAACACCAAATACATTAAATCCTATTGTCTCACAAATTGTGTATGGTTTACAATGCTCGACACCAAATTATAAAATGCACATTTTTGTTTTGTGCAGACAAAGAACTTTTTCCTCATGGATAATCCATGCCTGCATCAACCTTTTCAACCTCATTTACATATTTATTAAAAATTCATATTACTAGCAAATGCACGTGGGAGGTCATCATCATTATCTCACTCACTCTTGTGGCGGCAACACTCAACATGCAAATTACACAGCGCACGAACCGAGAAAGCGAGCCGATTACTAATAGTTATTACTCAATGGTAAAAAAGCAATTTCTGGTTTTATAAAATCTACTGTAAAGTACCTAGGAAAAATGAAACAAATGTACACACCTTACAGTATATTAACCTAAAAAATTTCTCATCATATCATCTAAAACAGCTACAAGTATTTTACCAACTAAAAAACCAACATACTAAAATAAACCTATGAATACAGAAAGATATGTTTTAGTTGTGTCAGAATAAATTTTCTTAAACAAAAGCAAAGACGTTTTAATTTAAGCTTTGGTACTGTTATGGTGGTTATAGTGCTCGTCTTTTTATCCTAAGAGCATAGGTTCAATTCACACTAAGTGTCAATATTTTTTATTGCTACTGCTTAGGCCTCTCATAACACTTAGAGAATAAACTATCAAACATTTACATCGATTATAAGTAAAGCATTTTAATACTTACTTAAAAAATTCACTTCTTAAATATAAAATATATGTAAGTATAATATAGAAAAGAAACAAACATAAAATTCATTAGCTTATGATACATTATTTTTTATCTGTCAAAAATTTCTAATAAAGCCAAATGAATGGAAGACTAAAACCAATCAAACAAAAAGCTAAGCTTGCAAATAAGAACCAATGAATTACTGTAGATAGAGCCTAGAGCCACCAAAGCCACTAACACTGAATTGCTACAGTAACCTCCCATAAGCCTAATTGATCAAGACTAATGTTCTCACATCTTGTGATAACATCCAAAGATGATGACAAAAATAAAACTACTTGACCAACTGCTAGTACTCGAAAAGAAATATAAAAAACCTGCCATTTTCACAATCATAAGTCCTCTTCCAACTGCCATAAAGGTGTGCCATTTTGGAAAGGTAGTCAACTCCAGCGTACCTGTGTAGACACACCTGCCTTCGACAGAGCAGTATTACTAACCCTCTGACCCAAGCCTTCCTGCATGGAATCTAAGATCACTTCCTGTTTAGCTACAGGATCAAATATTTTAATAATATAACCCGCAATAGGATAAAGTATTTGTGGCCAAGATATTAACTGGTGGTAGTAAACTTTTATACCTTATTAAAAAGGACTCAATCTTTCTAACCACTAAATGCATCAGCATTAAAAATCAAACTCTCTCAATAAAAATGGTTTAAAAAAAAATAAGACAGACCTAATAAACCTAGAAAGAATACATTAATATTTTATTTTTTAAAAAAAATTAAAATCAGTTTAAAAAGCTCCTGACACCAGTCTGCCCTTATTCAATTTAACAAATTGAAATGAGATTTGCTCACATTTTCCAAATATATATATCAAGAATATTTTCTATTAAAAAAGACTAAACAAGAAATAAAGATGAAACGATGGAACAAAAGATTTAAAAATAAGAATAAATAATAAATTATTTTCCAATATCAAAAGCCAAATTAAAACTAAAACCAAAGGATATGCATTATCTTCCTCCTCCTCCTCTTTCTTGTGTGGTACCATTATTATCCCCGACATCATCAAAATTTTCCTGATGACAATATTTCCCTTCTCCGTCCTCAGTGATCATAAATTCACGGTCAAGATTCAAACTTTCACAGAAATTGTAAAACACTGATGGATAACCATCGTCATCAGTATTTTATAACTGTCAATACCAGAACTAAATGGTTCATTCCATTTGCCAAAAAGGGGAGCACAGTAATATTGTTATAAAAACCAATAATTGGCTTAAACTAAATTCAGATCAATTAGTGAAAATGAGACAGCCAAACCAAATATATATCAATTAGTGAAAAATGAGACAGTTTTAGAGAATGACATACTAAATTAACAATTGTCTTTTAAGAAAGAAAAAAATCAATACTGAATATGAATTCCTTTAATTACAATTGTATGGCAAGGAAAAATGTATGAAAACATTTAGGTTAATGGCACAGATTATGAATCCTTCAATATTAAACATTAAATATTGAAAGCATTTACAATCCGACTTCGAAAACTAATTCATAAATTATAGAATATTGTAAAAAAAAAAACCAACATGGCGACCTCATCCAAAGCATATTCTTTTAAGGTAGAAAGCTTCACGTTATTAGAAGATGTCTAAGTAG